CATAGGAAATCAATTGCTGGTTCTCCGCAGAACATCAATCTTTCACTTTTTGTAGTGTATGTGAAATTGCGTGTTTTTGTCACCTGTTCCTGCATCGACCTGCCTTCTTGCTTATAAACATGTGTTTGGACGGCGTCTTTGTGTCAAGCATGACCTAGAACATTCTACGAGCATTAATATAAGCACAGAAGCAATTACTATGTTTGAAAATATCTTTCCTATATTTTCGTATTTCATGGGAGTAAATTCTCGAGACTTGTAATCTGTTTCGATGGTTATTTATCTCACTGCAAAACATTTCCTAAGTTGTTTCGTAGCTACGGGCGCAGTTGTAAAAACAAGAATCTACTGTCAGCTAAGGAAGCCAGGATAACTCGGGCAGTTTAGCGACTAAGATATGGGTGGGTGATCGAAGTTCGATTTCCGGCAGGGGGCAAGTTATCTTTTCTCTACTCCACAGCGTCTAGACCGGCTTTGGGGCCCACCCAGCCTCTTGTCCAATGGGTCCCGAGGCTCTTTCCTTGGGGGTAAATTTGTCGAGGCGTGAATCTGACCACTTACCTCCACCTAGTGTTAAGATCAAAAACATGTGGATCCATACATCCATTCCTCCATACATATTGATGGCGTAGTGCTTAATTAATTAATCAATCAAGCAGAGGAACAAGTTCGCCTTACTTTTATGTATGGTCTACCGATTTCCAAATTTAATGTATTAAGTTTCAAGTGTAAGATCTGCATGTGGAGCTAGCCCGTAGCAGAATCCCTTATTTGGGGGAATTGTGACAGCGAATGTGGTTTCTGGCCGAGATAAAGAACGGATACGAACATCCGTACTCTCACAAAAGTTCAAACATTTCGACGTAGTGTACTCTTGATGTAAGGCTATGAACGCCTTAAAGCACAAGGGCTACTAGTGTCTGCTGCTATGTACGTGTGTGTAGGCCTATACGTGCGTCTCGAATTATGCCCGTCGCCGCTTCTGGCTTATTAGTTGTCGCGGTATTCGGTCATGCCACTCTCCTTGAATTCACGCATGTGCCATAGAGTCCTTGATACGTTCCCCCATGTTCTATTCTTTCTAATTTACTTCGTCTCCTCCACAGATCCACTCAACTGCACATTTTCCAACCTTCCACTATCTTCTGCAAGTGTTAAAATCCTGCAAGCTTCATTTTCAAAGCGATCCCTCCATTTCCACTCTTCTACGCAACATCATTTCTGACTCCTCGGGCGCCCATAATCTCTTCTTCATTAATTCGTTTCTAGCGAATTGCGTCCGGCTTCATTCCTTTCGTTAATCTCTGATGTGGAAATGCTTCCAATTCTGGTTCTATCTATATTTGTCTACATCTATTTTTTATTAAATCACTCCATAATATAGAGGCAATTTCTTTAAGAGCTCTCATACCTTAATTAATTTCATTACAAACACCCTCACTGCTACCACAATTGTGCGAAAGTACCAATCCCAACTACTTAAACGTTTTAAAATGTTTCTCATTTTTTTCTGTTTTCGTCCAATTCCAGACCATCAATATTATATACATTTGTTCCGTGTCCCTATTTACACTAATCTTCCTATAGCTACTGCAGCATAAGCCCATGTTCAGAATCTTTTGAATCTGTTGCGGTTACTGTCTGTCAACGGCAAAGACCAGCAGGCCTATATAAGAGTTCATTTCCTACATGTACCCCATATTTCTGTATTTAAGTCTCCACTTCGCCAAAGCCTCATTAAAATGAACTCCAAATAAAGTAGATACAATGAAACATTTAAATATAATCCTTTGGTTACCCTAAATTATTCTGACATCCCCTTTCGTAAATTTATAGACCGTACACAATCCTGATACAAGTTAACTTATAGATTTAATGCATACTGCACAGAGAACAGGGTGTTGAGGAGAATATTTGGACCGAAGAGGGATGAAGTGACAGGAGGTTGGAGAAAACTGCATAATGAAACTTGTACTCTTCTCTAAGTATAATTAGAATGATCAAGTCAAGGAGGATGAGGTGGGCAGGGCATGTAGCACGAATGGGGGAGACGAGGAATGCGTATAGGATATTGGTGGGAAAGCCAGAAGGAAAGATACCATTAGGAAGACCAAGCTGTAGTTTGGTGAACAATACTAAGATGGATCTTAGAGAGATAGGATGGGATGGTATGGATTGGATAGATCTGGCTCAGGATAGGGACCAGTGGAGGGCTCTCGTGAATGCGGTATTAAACCTTCGGGATCCATAAAATGCTAGGAAGTTCTTGAGTAGCTGCAGAATTGGCCGCTACTCCAGAAGGGCTCAGCTCCACGAGTAAGTAAGTAAGTATACTGCACTGATTTCATTTATCACTGCACTGTCGGCTGGTAAGGTATTAATGTTACGACCCCTCAATCTTAGGCTAACCATGAAAGCACCAACACCTCGCCAGATCCCAAGATATTTTCTCACCTTCTATTTCTCTTCCTCTCTTTACTTCACCCTCCTCCCTCTCCTCTTCCTCCTCCCCTTCTTCTACTCTTCCTCCTCCCCCTTCCTCCACCTCTTACATAATATTTTCTTTTACTCCGGAATTTTCAACCTCCTGCTTCATGAAGAATATTCTGCGATGTGTAGCCCAGTAGAAGTTTACCGACGTTTCGGAGGAAAATACTATCTCAATATTAAGGGTGGGAAATTGCTAAGAAATGAAGGGCAAGAAGCTAGCATGAAGCTGAGGTAAACAGAGGATGGCGGAAACGCGTGTGACACGTCCAGTTCTTTGGTGCTGGAGCAGGAAACACGGCGTATACATTTTCTGATGGGTAATCTGCAGAAGATAGAATCCAGCTTACTTTTGTCATACAAAAATATATGTGTGCATTGTGGCGTATAGGACTTTGCTATGCAGTGACTCTGCAAGCAGAGACCTTGATTCTGGCCGATCCCCTGTATAAAGAGTTCTACCGAATGTCCGTAAAGAAGGCTCAGAAACGTAGAGAACATGAGGCCTTTGAACACACTGGTCTGTCATGCCGCACAACAAGAATAATAAGAAGAAACTTATTTTCGTTGAATTTCAATGGAAAATTTTAAAAAGAAATTTGTTAAAAGCATGCAGCCTCAATAACTTGAAAACCTCTTGGAAAAACACCTGCATTTTGGTAAGTCATTAAAACTTGATAGAGTGAAAATATGAACTGTAGGGTTTTGCTTTCTAGAGGATCTCTTTCGACAAATGTTGTCTACAAAGGCAGACGCCCTCAAAGCACATAAATTCTCCTTTTTTTAAATCTCATTCAGTCACAACTGTAACTGCCGGTGGTAGCGTATTTGGGCACTTAGATAGAAAACAAACCCTTACAATTCAAATAATAGCTAATACTTAGTAATTACAATCATAGGTTCTATTTTAAACATGTACATTTTGCTAGATTTGCGTTCTCTTAATATCGAGTGGCTCAATATTCTGAATGGTCTGAAATGCAACAAACGGTCGGAACCTTCGAAATACGAGTAAGTTCTGTCTGTATGTACAGGTTCCACAGATAACCTCTCCACTGAACCACTCTTAAGTGTGGGTTTCAATAAATAAGCAGGCTACCAACAATACAAACTGTCGGTTAGGTACTTCTCACTTCTTATCCGTAACTACTACTGACAACAATAATTTCTATATAAGGAGAGAATGAAGACAAACAGGAGATCCTAGGTAGTTATAATACATAGGATAAGCATTTATAAAAAAAATGTTTGCATTTCTTTACTTATGGATTATTTACCTATGCTTTCAATATTCAAATTACACAGCCTCCACATTTATGCACGAAGCACCATTTGCACATCAACAGTTACAAATCGTCGACGGTGCAGAAACTTAAATTTATTTCTGATAAATTTAACGTATAGAGAATATGCATTTAAGTAAGATGCTCTTTAGAAAAAGGCTACAAAACTTCTAATGTCATCAGGCCTTAATATAGGCTACATAACGTGGAATGAAGTGCGTGTAACTAGTATTTCTGAATTATAGGTTCGAGAGTTTCCAGTTTCGGATTTCGATCTAGAGATCTGCTACTGTAACTAAAAAACTTCGTAGGTTTCTCAGACCTTCCTATGAAAGGTTGGGATAGCAACTTAAAACAGTCCACGACATATATTTCCAGCTCACTTCCAATTCATGTTTTAGAAACATTTCGAAATTCCACGCTCCATAACCCAAGAACATGTAGATCAATTGTTTATGCTTACACAAGGACACGTTAAGCCTTCAGATGTTCATGAGAATTGTATTGTGCTTCGAGAAAGTTATAACATAACTCAGACTTACGAGTTTGACCTATTGGTCTGAATTACTTCAGTCCAGCACGATACACAGCAATCGATACACAAGTCGATCGTCAAAACATATACATAGCCTCTATAGTTACTAGTACTAGTTATAACCGTGTGTTGTCACAGGCGCACACCAGCAAGCAGACATTGTGTCTGCCAGACTGCCCGTATTTCAGCGCCCTAACTCCTTGATCTGGCAGTTTCTATCAATCTGACAATTCAGTGATGAAGTAACTCATATATTCATGAATGATGATTTTTATCATCGAAATATGCAATGGATAGTACACAACAGAACTAAATATTAACATGTTCTTAATATTGGTTTTATTAATTAGTTGTTGTGCCGATGGTCACCAGAACACGCCGTTTGCATTACACTAAATAGGATTCAGAAACAATAAAGACAGCGTCTACTAAGTCTCAGAATTTTTCGATATGTAAGTTCAATTGAAACCCACCAACTCACACCATTTTTCCACTAAAATCGACCAAAATTACGCCAGTAGTTTCAATAAATTCAGAACGGAAAACATAAATGAATTCAAGGGCGTTCAGAACCTTCTTAAATGTAGCAATTTCAAGCTTTAGTTTTACATCCTAAATAATATGATCCAAATTCTGCAATCGAAAATCTGGAAACCTTTCTTGCTACAAAACCAAAATAAGTTGGTAGAACATACCTTTCTTTAATTTGTGTTTTGAGCTTGGCTGCTGAGGTGAATCCGTCTTCTTGGTCGTCTCAGAGTCGTGTTTATTGTTAGACGTATCCAAGACCAGGCTCTTCTTCTTCTTCGTTGTGACATTAGGCACAGAGCCATCGTGTGACACTTTGCTGCTGCTGCTTCTGATATGTTCATGGCCGGACCCAATATCCGAATCGTTACAATCTAACTGTTCGCCCACGTGCGACGTGAAAGTAGCACGTGATTTCGAATATTGCTGTCTCTTCCTCTGGATTTCAAACTCTTGGGCGTGGTGTTCGAACCCCGGCGTACGCACGTATGTAGGCCCTTCAGACGACGCGTTACTTGCCCCCCCAGGAGAATGCACGCTGTCGTAGTCAAATGGTGACGATGAAGAGGCGAAAGCGTCGTTGTTTGCTTCCAAAGTTGGCGGAATTGTGTCGAATGTTTTTGATCTTGTTGGTAGTGAAACTTTCTGTTTTTGAGGAATCTGAAGAACCTTTACCGAGTTTGACAATTCTTTAGTTTTCTGCTGATTGAACTTCATAAAACTTACTCCATCGTTGTCTTTGCTTGCATTTTTATCTTCATCGCCATAAAATGGATAAGCAGATGAAGATGATGATAGCAGTGAGTCTGGTGATAGTAATGTGAGTGATGATTCAGGTGATGGCTTTCTCTTTCCACTCATACTGAATCTACAGACACAGGCACATATTATTCCGTATGATATAAATGTAGAACAAGCGTGTTAGTCCCTTCTAACGGGTCAGAGCAATACAAAATTGTTACATCATACTCCTAACTGTAGAATAACTGGGCCTACTTCTGGGGCTAAATCAATTACTGATCTACTCATAATAGAACTGTGGAACCTCGAGTTGAGATCTACACAAACACTACTGCAGTGATTCACATTTACTAAACGAAAAGAAACAATTATTTCTTCTTACAAGAACTGCATCCCGGCAGCCCCGATTCTGAAGTCACATACCCCATATGAATTCAGACCACCTGCCTGTTTTGTTTACTGTTGCTAAGCACACTGGAAAGGCGGAGGAATGGTTGCTATGGAGATGACGTCATTTACACGTGGTTCTACTCGCTTGTAACGCATTGGATAGTCTTTATCAGTTCTACATTATTCCATGGAAATAGCCGGTGAAAAATTGAAAGGTAAATGGGTGAGAAAACAATAAAACAGATTAATCTAAATGAGATTAGATACTTCATAGAAAAAGGAGGTTTCATGCCACGGTTCTGCCATTGGCCTATGTTGAAGTAAGAACTCTTTATAAACGTCATCCAGGGTCCCGGATTCGCTGTCCTCAATTTTATTACATTAAGCATATTTTAGGCTTGTTCTCAGCCCAGCCTATGAATTTCACTTCGGCCGTCCACCTAACCGCCGGAACACACAAAAACTAGCGAACGGGTGACAGCAGATAGTTCCAATAGAATCTGCCAGTGCTCTCCAATTATAGTAAAATTCGTATAACAATTACGGGCACCCTACATAAAGACACATACACGTTTCTGAGCTCACTTCGACCGTACCTCTCTAAATATTTATCGGAGCAGAAAGTGTTTCCAACAATACTTTTTAGAAGAATATAAACAAATTTTACGTTTTTGAGGTAATAAAACATACGGGACTCAATGCGTACAGTTCCTAAGTTGCATATTCAGCATTCAACAACGATCTTGCGAAGATACGTAACAATTAGCAGACTATCAGCAATGTTTTTCTCCGGGACACGAAGATTGCCGAGGGCTTCCTCTCACCTGAATTTATGCGTATACACGAATACAAATGAGTATTTTATAGAAGCACAATTTATTGTGGTGCTGAAGTGACCTAAGAGGCAAATCTCCACGAAACAATTGCTGTAATTATTTTCAGAAGAGAGCAACTAAGAAATAAATGAAAGGACTTGCCGATTATTGACTCCGTTGAAATCAGATTTGTTTTATTCTTTTAAAGTAGTCACCCGTTGCGGCAGAAGATTGTACGTATTAAACAGTTGTATTACACGTTCTCCTAGTGTGCGTTAACCTGTGAACACTGAAGTCTCAATACCTATTACTTGTTCAGGGAGTATATAGTTCTGACTTATTACCAATTTGAATAATCATATCTTCTAAGAACGAATACTTAGCTGCTCGTGAATTTAAAGTTTGTTTAGTATAGAGGAATAGTTCATATAGTCTTTAACTATTCTGGGGCATGCGGTAGTGTGGTCGGTTGAGGCACTATGTTACACATCGGAAGGTCGGGGATTTGATACCAGATGAGGTCACTGGATTTTTCAATTGATGTAATCCTTCCAGCCTGGCTATTGACTTGGGGTCGACTCAGCGTCTAACAGAAATGAGTACCAGGAATCTTCCTGGGCGTAAATGGTGTTGGGCGCTTAAGGTTGACAACCTCACCGTCATCTGTGCATTGATTGTCTAGAAAATGTGGGAGCCTCGACGTCTCACAGCCCTATGGGCCTTCACGGCCTATTACAGGGATAGCTGTACCTTTCTACCTTTAGTTTTAATTATTCAGTGTATCTAAAAAGTCACTTCGATATTACAGAACATCGCTTCCCTTTAACAATTATCTGTTTTCCCGTTCGCAGTTTGAAGATATTTGTATGTTATTTATACATCTCCCCGAGGAACGCCTGGTTAAGTATACACTGTAGCTTGTACTTTAGTAGTAGGGAGAACATTCTCACTAACTCCCCAACCAACAACTCAATGACCCTGTCGGTTGGTCGGTTAAATTACTGCTGGCCTTCGCCAGTACAGTCATTCATAGCGTCAGTCTCCTCGAGATCCATGACCAAGATTTTTATTTTACGTGTTTCGAAATGGGGCCTATTTCTTTAAGTTATATTTTAAACCAGTGGTTATAAAATTGTGGGGCGCGACTCCCGGGGGGGGGCGAAGGGCTTGAAAGGGGGGCGCAGCATACTTTCCTACAGATAAAAGTTAACCATGATTTCAAAATAACTAATAATTATTCTCTTTACCGGCAATTATAACACGCGTATGCCAGAGACAGCGTTGATAGTTCGGCAGCAGCTGCATCCTCTTCCAGGCAGCACTGTACACGCGCAGCTGAAAGCAGCGGCTTATGTCATCTCATTGGCGCCAGACTCGATGGTGATCTACGGTTATGCCTGTCTGATGTTGTGTTCTTATGCATTCAACGTTTCAGTGCAGTTCTGCTGATACTCGTATGTTTACCTCTTGAAGTTGACTTGATTATGAACAACTGATCATGAAGCGTTTCCTGGTTAGTGATAGAAATGAAGACACCAGTGCTCCTTCAACTAGTGGTGGGAAAGAAGCTACTCGGAGTGTGAAAATGAGAAGGTACGATGAGAACTATTTATCTCTAGGCTTTACGAAAACTGTGATCAATGATGAAGAACGTCCGCAATGTGTAATCTGTCTAAGTATTTTAGCTGCAGATAGTACGAAACCTCATAAATTAAAGAGACATCTGGAAACCAAACATCCGAAGTTCACAAATAAACCAAAAATTTTTTTTTAGAAAGCTTAGTGGTTTAAAGTCCACCCAACAGAAATTTGCTAAAACAACAAATGTGACTTCTAAGGCCCTTTTAGCCTCTTACCAGGTTTCTCATAGAATTGCTAAATGCAAGAAACCACACACAATTGCAGAAACACTGATATTACCAGCAGCGATTAACGTAGTATCAACAATGTTGCGAGACTCTTCTGCTCAACAATTGAAAAATATCCCCCTCTCTAATGACTCAGTTTGTAGAAGAATTTCAGACATTTCTAACGATTTACATCAGCATTTAATTGAGAAGTTGCTCAACAAGTGCTTTGCGCTTCAAGTGGAAGAAGCGACTGATATTCATAAAGATGCTCATTTGATTGCGTACGTTCGTTTTTTGATGATAGTGTAATACACAAGAGGAATTGTTTTTCTGTGAGCCTATCTTGAAAACAGCAACAGCTCAAAGCCTTTTCGACGTGATTGATGCTTTCTTTAATGAAAATGAAATATCATGGTATAAGTGCACTGGCATATGTACAGATGGAGCTCGTTCAATGTCTGGAGTCCGTTCTGGATTACAAGCAAAAATTAAAGCTGTTGTTCCCGAAGCAGCATGTACTCACTGTATGATACATCGGGAGGCTCTGGCAGCTAAAGAACTCAGCCTACCCCTTCATGAAGCGCTGCAGACGGTTGCAAAAACCGTCAATGTTATCAAGGCAAATCCTCTGAAGTCTAGATTTCTTAAAATGCTGTGTGAGGACATGGGTGCCGAAAACACCGCTCTGTTGTATTCTAGTGATGCTCGGTGGCTTTCAAGAGGCAAGGTATTAAAGAGAACGTTTGAGCTGAGGCATGAGGTGTTCTGTTTTTTAAATGGGGAAAATCACCCACTGACAGACAGTTTCAGCAACAAGGATTTTTTTTATTGAAAATGGTTTACCTCACAGATATATTTGAGAAACTAAATATCCTCAACACTTCACTTCAAGGGAATGAGGCAACTGTACTTTCTTGGAATGACAAAGTGAAGGCATTCATGGGAAAATTAGAGCTCTGGAGAAACAGTATGGAAAGTGGCACGCTAGACATTTTCCCTAATCTGGTGTCAAGGGTGCAAGGCACTGATAATCCAGTGCTTCCAATGGACATAAAAAGCTGCCTACTTGATCATCTCATAATGTTGAAAGTTCATTTCGAGAAATACTTTTGCAATGATTTTGATGAATTTAATTAGATTAAAAATGTATTCGGAAATGCTCCAGGGCCATCATCTCTGAAGGTAAATGAGCAAGAACAACTCATCGATCTCACTAGTGATACTTCATTAAAAAGTAAATTTAGGGAATTGTCTTTGCTGGAGTTGTGGATACATATTGGCACGGAATTACAAACTTTGAGCCAAAAAGCACTGAAGTTGCTGATTCCTTTTGCAACAACTTACTTATGCGAGACAGGCTTTTCTGCTTTGGAAGCTATAAAGTCACAGTATCATTGAAAGCTAAATATTGCTAAAGAAGTTAGAGTGGCCATTTCTGATATTACACCACGTTTTGATAAACTTTGTTCTCAAACGCAGGCCCATCCATCACACTGAACTTTGACATTTAAATGTTTGATTTTCTTTGCAGAAAAAATAAATGCTTCTTAGTTAAATATCGTTTCATTTCAATACATATTTTGGTTAATTGCAAGCGTTAAAACTAATTTTTATTGTAGGCCTAATATTGTGATACTTTAATTTTGAGTAAAAAAACTGCTAAATAGTATGTAGAAAAATACAAAATAAACTGAATAAAACGTCAAACATATCATGACTTCTATTTTGATTAAAAAACAGGCTGGGGGGCCTGAGAGTATTTTCTCTTGTCAGGGGGGCTCAGAGGTAAGAAGTTTGAGAACCACTGTTTTAAACTATTACGCGGAAGAAAATATTTCTATCTCAAATTATTAGCAACGCACTGAACGTCAAATTGCGGATAGAATTTTCTCATTCTCTGCAGACGTTAGGTCAGTGACGTCACTCATATTGCTACTGACTTCAGGTTTGCGCCTGCCTGTATTCTGCGTGACTTCCGAATTGCAATAATTCGTCGAAGCTGAGGGATTTATAAGTATGCATTTGAATTCTTCTTGGAATTATCCCGCAATCACGTATTAGTGTGACCTACCAGACCTGTCAAGCTGTGCACTCTGAGTATAGCAA